ACATACATACATACATACATACATACATACATACATAGCTTATTTAAACACGGTGAAATCATCAGTAGAAGCAGCATTGGCAATGAAATATATTAATAAACCTATCTATAAAAAAGAAACTAAATAGAATACTTTTTTACATGATTTCGTTTTTAAATTGCTGTATAGATTTAGAATTCCTAACCCCGTATGCGGTAGATTACTCCAGAGGTGGGAGGCTAATGTGCTACCGCTACTATGTATTGACCATGTTCGTGGTATTCTATTAAACAGACATTTATTTAATAGACAGTTGTATAATATTAGTTTGACTATATAATTTTTTAAAATATTTGAAAATATTCTAATTTTAGATAGAAGCACGTGACCCTGGTGACTTGTTCAGTCGAGTGAATGTCGTCATCAACGTGGACGACGYCAATGATCACCGGCCAGAATTCAAAGACTGCCCTGGTAACTCCAAACCCGTCACAATTCAAGAAAATCTGCCGGCTGGTCACCGGGTATTCCAGGTCGAAGCAGAGGACAAAGATCGCGGTAAAAACGGACAGATCCAATATTCCATCGTAGATGCGCAATCTCTGAGTGTTTTTAAGATAGATAAACGTACTGGAGAGATCAGGACACTTACCAGCCTCGATAGAGAAAGCAAGAAAATGTCTTACACGACCATCATTAAGGCCGAGGATGGATTAGACTCTCAGCTACCTTCAGAACGGCTTCTTCAATATTGTTTCCTAAGGATCGACGTCTTGGACGCCAATGACAACCGACCCTATTTTGCCGAGGTGCATTATTACGGTAGCGTCCAGAACACCGCTGCAAATGGGACCAACATTCTTACTGTGCAAGCAACGGATAATGACTTTGGATCGAACGCAAAAGTAAAATATACGCTCACAAATTCTGAGGGAGGACTGTTTGCGATTCACCCTAGCGATGGTATTTTAACCGTTAATGGAGATCTGAGAAGTTACACGACTAAGCGAACATTTCTTTTGACTGTAAGTGCTAGAGATGAACAACCGAGAGCCGGTGAACAACCTGGACAGAACACGAGATATTCAACTAATATTGAAGTAGTGGTGACGCCTGACCCGCCTCCAAAGTTCACTCAGTCTGTATATACCGGAACAGTCAAAGAGGGTGTGGATACAGGGACTTCTGTCTTGACTATCAGCGCCACTAGCCCAACGGGAGAGATCCGTTACATTGCAGTCAATACAAACCCTAAGGCGCATGAACTGTTCCGTATCAGCGCTGACACAGGAGTCATATCAACGGGCTCACAGATAGACTACGAAGCCGGGAAAAAATACGAGATGCATTTTATGGCCAAAGAAACAGTGAATTCCCTGTATTCCACTTGTAAGGTGATCATCACCATAGAAGACGTGAATGATCAACGACCAATCTTCGAGTTGGGAGTGAACACAGACGCCCGGGTCCTAGAAAACGTAGCTCCGGGTGCAAAGGTGATAGACAATGTTGCCTTTGATAAAGATACGGGTTCTGGGGGTTCCATCACTTACTCCTTGAAAAACGACCAAAACTTCGGAATCAACCCGAGCACTGGCTTGATAACGACCAAGATAAAACTCGACCGAGAAACTGTTCCAAACTACGACGTTATTGTGGTTGCGCGTGACGGAGGAGGTTTGTCGCAGGAAGCCACGATCTTCATAACAGTTGTCGATCAGAATGACCAGAAACCGATTTTTGAACCCAAATCATACGTAAAATCAACTCCAGAAGATTCCCCCGTGGGAACATCTGTTGTCAGCGTGTATGCCACAGACAAAGACGTTGGCGAGAATGCTAAACTGAAGTATTTCATATCTGGAGGAGATCCCCAAGGAAAGTTTACAGTGATAACCAAAAATGATCAAGGAGTACTCCAAGTTAATGGGAAACTCGATTATGAAACTGTGCCCAAGTACACCCTTGAGATAACAGCCACTGATGGCAAGTTTGTTGACAAGGCAACGGTTGTTGTGACGGTAAGCTTGATTGCGTTATAGTCTGTACTGATGATTGTGTTACGGTAGTTTAATAATTTTAGTTAGGTAACACGGAAATTGCGTTACGCTAAGTCCTTAGTAGGTATACCCCAGTATATATGCATGACCCACGGGAGTCGTGATGGTCGGTAAACTGCGCTGTAGCTCTAAGCTAAGTACCATCACAAGAAGTTCTTTGAAGTCTCCTGTCATACATTGTAAATTTAGTAATTAGCTTTTGCTGCAAAGCTATGTAATTCGGTCATCTTTTCTTTTCCCTTTCCTTCCCATGTGATCGTTAGTTATCATTTTATACACTATACAAATTATATATTCAAATTACTCTATCCGCCGGGAACAGATTACAGACGTAAACGACCTCCCCCCAGTCTTCCTAAAACCACTATACAAGTCAGTTCTTCAAGAGAAAACTAAATCAAACGTAGCCGTTACCACGGTGACAGCATCTGACATTGATGGCCCATCTGTCACGTTTAGTCTTGGTGATCGCGGGAAAGGATATTTCCAGATCTCTACCAGGCGAGTCGGTGAAACTAAAACATATGAGGGCGATATCCAGACTGGTAGTACAGAACTTGACCGAGAGACTTCCCCTGTAAAGATATTCTCGGTGATAGCTAGTGATGGCAAGCACCAGACGACTGCAGTTGTGATGGTCAACTTGACTGACGTAAACGACAACAGTCCAAGGTAGATTTTATGGAAGCTTCTCAAAATTGTCTGGTGTGCGAGGCTAACATGGAAATACAAAAGAAGGACCACCAAATAGACCGTTTTCTCAAGGTTGCATGCGCATCCAACTTGACGGGCCACAAAACTGAAAAACGCAAATTCGGTAAAATTGAGAAGACAGTTTTATGTCTAAAGAGGAGAATAATCGATTTTATGAATTCTTATTTTTAAAAAAAATCATAGTAATGCATGATAATGTTCATCATAAAGCTCGTGTTCTGGTTTCGTGGCCCGTCAAGTTCCTTAAATTTGGATGCGCACGCAACCTTGAGAAAACGGTCTCTTCCAACACGAAAAAGTGCGATTTCTTTTGTATTTTCATATTGTCCACTAGAGATTGAAATTTGTTCACATACCAAATATGGTATTTTCTAGTGTAGTTTTGTTACAAACTTCTTTTGTTTATCACGAGCAACGTTGTAATGTTTGTACCAAAGCAAGAGGCAAAATGCACCTTTTTGATGCTTGCAGTAAAAGATATTGGTCGTGCTTGCCCCCCCAAAAATTATCTGTCCAGCTTCATTTGCTGGCAGGGCTCAAGGCCTGTCATCTACGCGTCAGGCCAAATTTTTAGCGGGATTTTCTGTCAATGAAATAGAAATAGGCCATTTGCAACAAACAGTCACGTGCATATTTATCATTTTGATAACGAATCATTTCAGCCAAAGGTCTCTCAGATAAGGCTCTGCTGGATAGCATTAAAATTTAAAATGCTTCCCTTCTTGAAATCGAAAGGGAAAAAAGTATTTAGAGCAACGTTTTGGATATGACATTAGTAATCCAGCCAAAGTTGTTTAAACAAAGGAAGTCCGATTTATTTGGTCATCCAGTAATAGTCATGTGATTATTTCCTGCAAATGGTCTATTCGCGAAACGCGATTTGATTTCCTGAAAAGTAAACAAGTGCGCACGTGATACTGAACGTTAGTTGTTGTTCCTAGGTTCCCGTCATCACCGTACATTGGTTTTGTGAAGGAAAACCAACCCGCTGGCACAAGTGTGATGTACGTTCAAGCTGTAGACGATGACGATCCCTTTACAAATGGAAACGCTAAAATAACATACGAGCTTACAGACTCGGCGGGCGGGAAATTCAAAATCGATCCTAAGACGGGTCTAATCACGACACTAGCAGTCTTTGACAGAGAGACACCACCAGATCAGTACAAGGTCAAGGTCAGAGCTACAGACGAAGGTAACCCTAAATTAGCTGGAGAGATCGACGCTACTATTATTATATCAGATGTTAATGACTGGGCTCCTGAATTCACTGAGAAGTTATACCGTGGTACGGTATCCGAGAGAGCACCACCGGGCTACAGGGTGACTGYGGTTAGCGCGACTGACAAAGACATCGGTCCGAATGCTGAATTTGAATTCGTGGTTATCGATGGGAACTTCCCGCATGCATTCTACGTTGACCCGTACAACGGGACAGTACTTGTTTCTGGTATCTTAGATTACGAAAAGAAGAACTCGTACAGAATGACGGTTGAAGTGTACGATCGTGGAAATCCACCGTTGAAAGGGAAGGAGATAGCGTACGTAGAGATCACTGTGACAGACGCTAATGACAACGCTCCTGTCTTCATTCCCAACGAGTACAAGAAGAAGGTGCCCGAGAACCTTCCTGTAGGAGAAGAGGTGTTAAGGGTAACTGCAATCGACGAGGACAGCGGCACCAACGGTAACATTACATTTTCGATAACCGATGGCAACGAAGATGATATATTTATAATTGAGCCTGATCCGAAGAACGGTAGTATTGGAATAATCAAGACGCGTCTTCCTGTCGACCGTGAAGCGATACCATGGCACCATCTAGTAGTTACAGCAACAGACCCTGGGGGACTTGAAGGCAAGGGGGATGTATGGTTGAACATTACGGACGKGAATGATAATGGCCCTTGGTTCGTCCCTCCGTTCTACGTAGCGAAAATCAAAGAAAATACTGGCGAACGCCAGTTTGTGACTAAACTGAGCGCTATTGACCCTGATGAGTACGTTCCTGGTCAGTCTGTAGCTTTTACAATTGTCAACGGTACCTCAGATAACAACTTTAGGCCTGATCCAGGAAGCTTCACGAACGACAGTGCTAATGTCTACTCATATGGTGTATTTGATCGCGAGGCTCAGCCAGAATGGAAAATAGGTGTTCTTGCAACCGAAAGCAACGAACCCAAAAACACTAACTTCACTTACATCTACATTGATGTCCAGGACGAAAATGACCAAGAACCAAACGATGGGTCTCTTAAAATCATTGTCAACTCGTACAATGGCAGCTTCAAGGGTGGGGTCATCGGGAAACCGTATTACAGAGACGACGACTTCGACGGAGATGAAAACATCTACAAGCTAGACTCGCAAAGTCCTGGAAGCTATTTCACAGTAAATGAGAATACAGGTGACATTACGGCGCAAAAGGGCATCCCGCTAGGAAATTACAAGCTCAAGTTTGCCATAACCGAGTCATCCGCAACTACTGGCCCTCGTAAGAACGATGTGAACTTCCCAAAGACCGTAGCTTCGACTGTAGATGTCCTGGTGCGTCGAATCAATCCGGACGCTGTTAAGAATAACGTGGCGATGCAGTTCGTTGATATGAGGAAGGTTGGATACTTTGTTGGTGACTTCCATGATAGGTTTGTTAGTACTGTAGGGAGCATTCTCGGCAAATCAAGTGATGATGTGAAGGTGTTCAGCGTACAGAAGGCTCCCGATAGAATCGTATCAGTCAATACGTTTTTCGCTGTCAGTTCTGGGGATAATGAGTACATGCCGCCATTGGATGTCATCAACGCTCTTGTGAAGAAAGAGGAGTCTTTGAAAGACCTTGGTAAATTATTTTTATTCTTCTGAAATTTATAGTTTTTAATCTCTTGATATTTCGATCTGTTATTTCTTTTTTACTCTCGTAAGATTTTTTTGAAAAATTTTCTTTGGTGAACACCCGAGTTTGTCAACCAATCAGATCACGAATCGAAAAATTCGAGTTATTGAAAGTTCTGTAAAAGTTCTTCAAGGAGATGAAATGATGAAAGAGAAAGAAAAAATAAAACTATATTTACACAAATGAAAAATAAAATAAAAAAACTCGAGTGTTCACGATTGAAGTAGAACGACAGTAAATATACTCTATTTTACTTTTTTCTTATTTTTCTTTATTCATTATTTTCCAATAGTTTTTGTAAAAAGCATTGAGTATTTTTTGAGAAATAACGTATTATTATCATGTAAAAACTTACCGCTTTGAAAAACATTCCAGGGCTCAAGATAGGCGCCATTGGTATCGACGAATGCGCCAAAGAAAAACACAAGATCGGAAAGTGTACGAACCTCGTCATGGCATCCCCCGAGTACACCGTGGCCAGCGGTGATTATGGTAAAGTGCCAGCACCATCATCGTCTTTGACCATCGTTTCTATGGACGTCCTTCTAAAAGCCAATTACACCCATATCTTCCCGCCTACCAAAAGGTGCAAACCTCACAATCCTTGTCTCAACGGTGGCACATGTTTTGAAACTGTGCCAGAATGCCCTGGATTCGTCTGTAAGTGTCCTCTAGGATACCATGGACCTCTTTGTGAACTGACAACACGAACCTTCTATGGTAACTCCTACATATGGCTTCCCAAGTTGACTGCCTACGAAATGAGTGAAATTGAATTTGATTTTATCACTTTGACGGCGGATGGCTTGCTGCTTTACCAAGGACCCCTGGAGAAAGGCTCCAACAATGGGGCTAAAGATTTTATAGCTGTTCCTTTGGTTGATGGCCGAATTCAGGTACATTTGTCACTGGGGCACCAACCAGTTGTCGTCAAAATGGACAAAGGACCTCGTTTGGATGACGGAGAATGGCATACGGTGCACGTAGCACGACGTCACAAGGTACGAAATAGAGTATTGCTTGATGCAGTGCATCATGGGATAGCTTGAGGGAACATGGCACCTTTGAATTAAACCACCACAGTGCAATGCGCTTCACGACGAAAGACCGGAAAGAGAATATTTTTTAAATGTTTCCAAACCATTCTGAAGTCTGTCCTGTGGTTTTCTGGCTTGCCCCTAAGATAACTTTTTATTTCTCACGCTTTCTCACGTATAATTTCAGAGTATACCTTAAGTTTGTACTATCCTTTTTCCTCTTCCAGGAAGTAGAGGTGATAATAGATCGTTGTTCTACAGCTGTTCTTGTCCGTAAAGAGGATGGGCACATCATAGAAAACCGAGAATCTTGTCACGTCTATGGCAAAACTTTAGGTCGATCAGTGTAAGTATTTTATGTCACGCAACATTTACTTGATCATCAGTTGTGCCAGACACACTATGACACTTAAGTAGTGCACCCCCCTTAACTGTATAGTCCAGATAATGGATGGAAGCGAGAGAAAATGACAAACCGCGTGTTACGGAATTAACGGCAGTTGTTGGACCAATCGCGGCGCGCGACGTCACTTACAGCTCGTCCAATCAGATTCCGGCAGTCATTCGTCCAATCAGATTCCGGCAGACAGTCATTTAACATCTTTGGCTCATGCTGGTACCAGACACAGTTTATGCAACTCAATAGAAACAACACAAGATTTCAGGTTATACAATACAACAAAGCTAACGAATAATGCAATAGGTTTGGGGTACGGGACTCAGACATTGCACGTCTTACCCCAAGCACCCGAGCTTATCACAACATGCTTAAGTAAAATCATTGTTRAATCTTCCTACAGATACCTGGATGGATTTGGACCTCTTCAGATTGGAGGTGTTGCCAACCCTAACCTCGATTACCCTGATATTCCCTACAAGGGATTCCGAGGGTGTATCAGGAACATAAAAGATAACAGCGTAGTGTACGATCTAAAGAACCCCTTAAGAGTAGTCAATGCTCCTGAAGGCTGTCAACTTGCCAAACCTTGTCCAAATTGTAACAACCAGGGCTACTGTGAACCGTTATTGGCCAGGAATAGTATTTGTGTGTGTAATGTTGGATACAGTGGCAACAATTGCAACGGAAGTAAGTCGAACGGTGATATCAGGGTTAATAGTTAATTAATTCTGGTGATATGATATATAGAGCGTTTTCACACAACGCCACAGCGGCCATGTTGGTATATCAAAACAATATATTTTCTATCCTCCGGGAATTAAACTCTATTTTTATGCAAAAACTGTGCAGAAAGTTTCTATTGTTTGGTACACCAATATGGCTGCCTTGTCACGTGAGTGAACACGCTCTATACGTTAAAGATGGAATGGTTCGAAATAAGCAAATTACAGCTAAATGTTCTTTCACGTTGCAAACTTTTTTAACCTATGCGCGCTTACTTAATTTGGTTCTTTTTCCCAATAAATAAATAAATAAATCAGTTTAAATAAATAAAGTCGTAACCGAGTCTTCTATTCTATGCACACAACTCAGATCTCATTTTATTTTATTTTACTTTATTTTCGGAAACTCGAGTACTCAGAAATCCTGACCCGTTGGACTAAAAGTAGTTGAAGGACAAACTTTTTACTGCGACGCCATAATGCTAGTATACTAAAAGTTCACTCATGATYGTAAGCTGCACGGCTGCCATTACCGCCTTAATACGCAGCACGTAAAGTCCTCCACTGGTTATAAATGTGAAGCGCATTGAGACGATGTGAAAATGCGCTATATAAAAACCTCCCATTATTATAATTATCATCYTCACATSAACATCATCACCATTATCATCGTCGCCATCCTCACCGTCATCATCAACATCATCGTCATCACTATCATCATCAACATCATTATCATCATGTTCATTATCATCATCGCCATCAACATCATAACCATCATCATCGTCGTCATCATCATGGTCATCATCATCATCATTACGCCACCCCTCTCCCCCTTAAATACAGCTTCCTACAGTTATCCTGTTTACATTTATTTGACTTACTGACTTAAATTAATTTTCTTTGTTTTACAGGAGGCCCTGCTAGTTTCTATCTGGATAACAGCTACACGCAGTACTTGGTAAAGACTTCACGGCGGAAGCGTCGTGAGCTGGTTCCTCCACCTACATCTCTGCTAAATAAGTTCTACACTGCTATCACTTTGCACGTCAAAGTCGAACCTGATGCCTCGGATGTGGTTGTGTTTTTAGCATCCAACCATATGGGAACTGAGTTCCAGAGAGTTGATGTGAGTATTATCATCATCATCATCATCATTATCATCATCATCATCATCACCACCATCATCATTATCACCACCATCACTATTATCATCACCATCATCACCATTATCATCATCATCATCATCACCACCACCATCATCATTATCATCGTCATCAACCTAATTATCATCACTATCATTATCATCATCCTCATCATCATTACTATCATCACTATCATCATTGTCAACACCATCATGTATAATCAAGTTGACGATCACCACCACCACCACCACCATCATCATTATTACCACCCAACACTGTCATATATTTATTAATATCAATCGCCAACATCATCAACTTCCTTCTTTGTCTCAGAGAATGCCTCGATCTTTCACATCCCTTCACTAACCACCCTAATTTCTTTGCAGGTCAAAGACCACAAGCTGCGTTACATTCTTCGCCTAGGAGACAGAATGTTGGTCCTCTCATTCCCTCAGCTCAATGCAACAGATAACGTCTACCACACCGTGGTGGTTCGTCGTCAAGGCAATCGAGCTGTCTTACAGCTTGATTACAAAGGTTACCAACTGGGAAACACTCGTGGAGAGCGCACACTTTTAGACATGGGCGGTGGTACATTATTCGCTGGTGGTGTACCTAAYGTGACGGTGGTACGAGTAATTGAAGCTATCCTCCTTAGCGATGGTAACATCATCTCTCCGGACAGTAATGGAATGTCATTCGGCACTGGTTTTGGGGCCGGGGTGTCTGCAAACCTCGAGAACTTGGAACARTACTTCAAAGTTGCTTCAGATTCAGCTGGATTTGCCGCAGTTGCTAATAACGTCAAGGGTGTATCTCTGAAAGACTTGCACGTGTCGAGCAGTGATGAAGGTGGTCAGCGCGAACGATCGAAGAGAGCTGCCCAGGCTGTGTCAGTCTTAGGAGACTTTGGAGGTAACATATAARCTTCCTAATAACATGGCACTAGTGCAAATAACGGTTCTCCAGAGCGCAACAATAGGAGCGTAGTTGATTCGCTTGCGGTAAACGACAATTGTACTAAAAGTACAGTCAGTCACCTCCAAAGTTTTTTACTCACTAAAAGTATAGTATAAAAAGAAGAAATAGTGCTAGGAGTGTAATACTCAAATGGACGCAAAACTATTGGTCTAATAACTATTTCACGGGTTAAATAAAACAACTCGATCTAGAAACGATTTTCACAAATTTCTTTTTATATTAGTGAAGGGAGAGGTATTTTGAGATTTCAAGTTGCGATTGGCAACTTTTTAAAAATTTAAAAAATTCGTAGTATTTCCCCCCAGCCCCCTTTTGGGAATAAGATGCCCTTCAATGAACGAAACATGAATGAACCTTTCCTTCTTCAGGTTGTATTGCCGGTGCTAACGTGAATGGTGCCGATCTTGAGAAAGATCCTTCCATTACCGTCAGGAGACAGAATGTGGTCAATGGCTGCCCTTGTTTAACTAATCATTGTCTCCATGGAGGAACATGCGTGAACGCTATGCCACCATACTGTGTATGTCCTCCTGGCTGGACAGGACCTCGTTGTGAGACAATTGTTACGCAACCTAATCCTGGTATGTAACGCTATACACAATGTTGTTGTCCGATTGTCACATAACCTAATCCTGGTATTTAATGCCATACACAATGTTGTTGTCCGATTGTAACACAACCTAATCCTGGTATTTAATGCCATACACAATGTTGTTGT